CTGGCAGATGCGTTATCATATTGCCACTCGAAAAGAGTAATTCATAGAGACATAAAACCTGAAAACCTGCTGCTGGGATCGAATGGAGAGCTAAAGATTGCTGACTTTGGATGGTCTGTGCATGCTCCATCCTCTAGGTAAGGGAATCATAGAAGTGTAGAGCTGGAAGGGACCAGTGGATAATCTAGACCTACCCACTACAATGCAGGAATCTTTTGCCCAATGTGGGGCTCAAATCCACAATCCTGAGATTAATCTGAGTCTCATGCTTTACTGACCTGCGTTTCTGAGAGCTGAAGAAGCTTGGTACTATGGAGACAGACAACAGAATCAGAACTTGGCTAAGAGGAAATTGTTTTGTTTCTGTAGGCAGTAAGCTTTGTGAAAATAAGTTAGCATTAGTCTCAGATTATAAGAATTGAGTTTAGGGAAACTACTGTTAGTTGAGAATGTTACTTAGATTACAAGGGTATCAAGCATCCCTAGAAGGGATGCTCTTGTTCAGGTTGACCATCAGCCATGTCTTCCTCCAGTATACTGTATACTACTATTCATGGACAAAGTGCTTTAGAAAGTGTTAAATCATGAATGGAGATCTAGATGAGTGCATGGGGAAATATCTTAATAGTTGTGTGTGGCAACCTTCAGTTGTTAGTCTGTGCATCATTTTTGTTTCCTAGGAGGTCGACTCTGTGTGGTACCCTTGACTACTTACCACCTGAAATGATTGAAGGGAGAACACACGATGAAAAAGTTGATCTATGGAGTCTTGGTGTCTTGTGTTACGAATTCCTAGTAGGAAAGCCTCCTTTTGAGGCAGACACATACCAGGAAACATACAGAGCCATTTCAAAGGTAAGTTGAATTATAACGCTGCTTGATTTAGAATCTGAGCATTTCATGGTATAGGAATTAACTCTCAACTAGCTGTTATGGAACTTGTACTTTCCAGGTTTGGGGCCTAATATCATTGACTTTAGTTCAGGAGTTTTCAATTAAAGAACTAGAATTTCTGATTTTTAAATGTGTTGTCTTAGTATCTTTTTGTATCTGGTAAATCCAGGTTGTCCTTCCCAACAGGTTCAGTTGCAAGATTTGAGGTGCAATCCTCTGGCACACTTACCTGCTCAATTTGCGTTTCCCATTTGCAGTCCACTGTGGAAAAGCAGCCTAGGACAGACAGGCTTGAACAATTTATCTGAGCTAGTTCAAAAATAGAAGTATGGGATAACACTAGTTAAGCAGAACCCACAGTGACGCAGAAAGAGACTGCTAAGCAAAAAGGCAAGAGAAAAACCATGATTACTAATGTATAGTGAGGGGGGGGGAGCCTGATGGTTATACTTAATGGTTCATGCACCTTGAATGCATGCTTTCATAGAAACATGTCTAATGATTACTATTTCTTTGGTTTAAAGGTAGAGTACAAATTTCCTCCATTTGTAACAGAGGGTGCTCAGAATCTGATTTCAAAGCTGCTGAAGCATAATCCATTCCACAGGCTGCCACTGGAGGAGGTGCTCAAACATCCATGGATTATTGCAAGCTCTACAAAAACTCCCAAGTATAAAGTTGCTGAAACTACCACTGCTAAGAATATCCAGTCATAGCATGTAGTTCCCAGGAACAAAGTAGTTCCGATGAGATCTGTGGTAATCCAGCCAATATAGGCTGGTTGGACTCAAAAGGCAGAGCTTATCGCATTGTAAGCTCTGATCATGAACCTTGCAAATCAGGTCATAAAGCAGTTTGTCAATATCTAACTTACTTGAAGTCCTCTTTGCACATGCCACTCTGAGGCATAGCTGGTTGAGGATCGTCTCATGTTCATGGCTGGCATTTCCCTTTTGGTCCCTTTTTGATAGCATCATGAAACTGAGCCATGGATTCTTGTGCAATATGAAGCAGTTTATGACGCAGCATGTCCTCACAAGATAACATTCGAAACACATGTGCAATGAATGGAATCCACCTTTGAGCGTAACTGTATTGTTTAGTTGTTCTTTTCCTTTAAGTTTTAAATAAAGATTTTTTTAACAAGACAACTTCTTTATGCTACCAAAATGGTCGGTTTAGTGGTCATTCTAAGCACCCACACATTCTGATTGGTGTACCAAATCTGCCAATAATACAACTATGCTTACTGGCTAGTAAAGATCTATTACAAAATGCAATCTGACACTGATTATGCATACCTTACTTGAAGTTGCCTTTGATACTTAAATCTGTTCTGGATTTTTTACATCTGCCTATGCCAGGGCAGGGAACCTTTCTGGCCTAACAGGCCAGATCCTTATTGGTTCCCAGCCCCATGGACTGATCCACCTGTCAGTCACCTGGCATTCTCCACTAGGAACTCGCTTGTAAGTTAACCCAGTTGTATCTCTACGTATCCCACATCTGACATCACATGAGGTGTGGGGCAGGTGGGCATTTGGGGAAACTGGCCTCATGCCAAATTGGGAATAGTGTTGGGCCTGCAAGGTGGATTTTCCCCATTCCTGACTTAACAGTAACTTGAAGAATGTACTGCTTAAATGTCCAGGTGGAATAAATATACTAGTTGAACTAGTTTTGGAAATCAAGACAGAACTAGTGTTCTTGATTATTAAAACCATATTAGAGGGGGAAGGGAAAGACTTCTGTAAAGCTACAGGGTTAAGCATCTTTACTTAAGTGGTGCAAATAATAAAACTTACTGTTGGGATTATTTGAATATGGTTTCATAACTTAAATTTACAGTGGTACCTTGGATTACAGACGCTTTGGGTTACAAACTCTGCTACCAGGAAGTGGTTGCTCCAGGTTAAGAACTTTGCCCCAGGATAAAAACAGAAATTGTGCGCCAGCGGGAGGCCCCATTAGCAAAAGCACACCTCAGGTTAAGAATGGACCTCTGGAATGAATTAAGTTCTTAACCCAAAGTACCACTGTAATTGGAAGTGATTTGGATTTATTTCTGCAAGGACTTAAATTTGGGGATGAACATGTTAACTGATTTTTAGCCTAAATTTTAAAATATTAAAGAGGCAGATGCATTGCAGAAATGAAGGCATTTGATTTTTTTTGTCATTAGCAACAAGTTTCATATCTCACTGAGGAATTCCTACAATGCCGTGTGCAAGGATGTGAGGCTATTATAAAAGGTATGAGTTGAAACATTTGTGGGTCCTGTGTCTGGTTTGTTTTATATGGGCCTGGAAAACAAATGATTATGGTCGGTTTCTGTAGTGTTTGGGTCCACTAGAATGGCCTTCCAACAAATCTGACTTCTCAGTGCCTCAACTGCTGTAGATTAGCAGTATATCCAGGACAGACAAAAGCAGTTCCTCATGCAGCAGAAAACTAATCATGGATTTTGCTACCATAAAATGTGATGGCTGTTAAAAGGGTGACAAATTGATGGAGGATAAATTTACCATTGACTATTACTAGTGATTGCAATATAGAATATTAGACTTGGTCAAGTGGGAGAACACCTGAGAAAGAGAAGTTAAGTACCAATACAAATACAAACAAACCCATCTCATCGAAGGCAATACAATTATTGGTAACAGTCACCTCACCTGAAGAGTATTCAGCATTTCAGCACCAGTTCAGCATTCCTTCCAGTCCTTCCCTTTAAATAGGGTGATCCACTGCCCCTTACCCTAGTCTTTTTCAGTTGACAGGCAACATTATGTAGCTACTGCCTAGGCCCAGTTTTATTGACCTCCTGCTTCAGATTTTTAAAAAGTGTTCTTGTCTTTCTAAAAACCCTGGGATTCCTCCAGGCGTGACGATACCTCATTACCTAGCAGCCCATTCTAGCCTACTTGTTGGCACTAAACACTAGAGTTTGCTATTAGAATTATAGTCCTCAGACATCTTAAATCAGGGGTCTCCAAGCTTTCCTTGCCTCGAGCCAGTGTCTCCAGCGACTACTGTGCAGAGGGCGGGGGAGCGCGCACCCATACATGTGCACAAACGCTATTTCCGGTGCTGCTCTGACCCGGTAGTGTATCCCTGCGGGCTGCATAAACGAGTCCCTCAGGCCTTATCTGGCCCCCAGACCGTGGGTTGGTGACCCCTGTCTTAAATTTTCCATCTTTGTATGTGTGCGCGCGCACACATGTGCATATATACACACATTTGTGGATTAAAACCCACTTTGTTAGGTGTATACCATCTCCCATTTGCATTTATGTGTGAATGCATATGTGTTTATATGCATATGTATACAGTGGTGCCTCGCAAGACACCACGAGTTGCCGGCATGCCGAAGCCTGCGCGCGCTGAGATCAGCGCGCCCAGGCTTCGCGGACCTCTCCTGCCTTCAAAAGCCGTCCGGGATAGCGGGAAGCGCTTCCCTGCTATCCCGGACTGCTTTTAAAATGCTGGCGGTGGGGAGCAAAGCCTTTCGGCCCCCGCCAGCCTTCCTGGACCTCTTCTGAAGACCGGAGGGGGGGGGGGAAGGCTTTGCTCCCCACCGCTAGCATTTAAAAGAGGTCCCCGGAGATTTCCCTATGGGCTTTCGTCTTGCGAAGCAAGCCCATAGGGAAATTCGTTTTGCGAAGCGCCTCCAAAACGGAAAACCCTTTCGTCTAGCGGGTTTTCCGTCTTGCGAGGCGTTCGTCTTGCGGGGTACCACTGTACATGCACCCACGAATGGCTATGTCATGCATTTAATGAGATGAGGTTTTAGTCCACAAAGCTTATACCAGAAAGCTTATACAGATATCTGTATATGGAGAGGAACCAAAGTTCAACTGTATCAGCATATGCTTTTCTTGCAGAAGGTTTCAAGATCAACCCTGGCAACTCCAGTTAAAAGCAGCTAGAAAGTGAGGTAAAAGACTACTGTCTTAGAGGCACTGCTGGTCCAAACAGACAATACTGGGCAATGGTCTAAGTTACTATAATAAGGCAGTTTCCTATTTTCCTAGAAGTACCCATATAATTGTTATTAGAACATCTGCCCCTCTGGGCTGGCACAGGACTTGAGGAAGAAACATAGGTAATCAGTATTTGTGAAGTAGTTTATCAAGAAAAAACACTTGCCCTCCCTCCACCATGAATATACAATGCAAAGGTGGTATTACAGGAATCTGCACAGGCACCACCAGGGTGCAGCAATTTAAAAACATTTTATATTTTATATTAACTGAGGTGGCAGCCTTGTTTTCCTCCAGTGATTTAATCATGGATTTGGAGTCGGAGGTTTGAAGAAACCTATCTTCCGAAAATATCGCACAAGTAATGGCACAGAGACTAAGGTGATGCTGATGCGGACTGGAGCAAACAGTTTGTGGATAGCGTAGGCCAAAACAAAAGTACTCGTCCCAGCGGCCAACTTGGATTGCACAAGAGCGTCATCAAATCCCAACTTGGAGAGGATGGCAGTCATGTCTACTCCACTAAAAGGGGGTAAAAACAAACCACAACTTAGCTTAGTAACATTACAAAAACAAGCATGGATTTTCCAAAGTGTTATATTTTTCACTACTGCAAGATTTCATGATGGGCATCACTTTAGATCAGGGATGGGCAGACTTCAGATGTGTCATATCAACTCCAAGGTCCATCAGTTGGACTCACTACAAAGTGGTGGCTTAGGAGCTGGACCCAATTTGCATGCTTCTCTTCACATACAAGTTGGCCAGTACAACTATTACAAAGACCTGATCAAAGTAATACTTTACAGGTGAGGAACATATAAAGGGGCTGATCAACAAATCTACCTCTTAAGGAGGCTTAGATGGCTTTAAAAATGACAATTATATGGAGACACTCTGCATGGGGGAGGGGAATCGATGGGTATGAATAATATCCAAAAAGCAGTGGGTTATAGTCAATGCAGGTCTTACTTAGAGTAGACCCACTGAAAATGAGCATAACTAACTTAGGTTCATTAATTTAAGTGGTTCCACTCTGGGTAAAGGTTAGCTGGACACAGCCTAGTGTCTCTTGAATGCCAAACGCTGGGGACAAACTACAAGAAATTGGCATCTTAATTCCATGCTATAAAACTTCTACAGGGATCTTGCTGGCTGTTGTTGGAAACCAAATGCTGGACTGGATGGATCTCTCTTTGATCCAGCAAATCAATTTTTATATCCAACAGCCATAAATATTTATCCCATGTTATATGTAACATTGTATCAAGTCCTCGCCACACCAAACCCAATTACAAATAGTATGGAAAACATACCTTGACACGGCTAGATAGAACATTCCTAGAGACATCAAAGAAATCCCAACATGGAATACAACTCCCACAGCTCCATATTCCTTAAAAACTTTCTTCAGCTGCTGGGATTTGTTAGGTTTCTTTCCATTCTCCTGGCTAGGATCTGCATGGTCGTTTCCTGCAGTTTCACTAGTCTCCTATGTATAGTGGGGGGAATGGGTGCTCATTAAAATATGTTTCTAGAGTGATTGAGCATTTCACTAAAAATAAAAGTGCAAAGTTTAGTTCATAGAGTGCTCTGTTCAAATGCTACAATATAGTCTGTGTCCACCATAGTTTTCCTATTTCTTACCTGCATCATTCATATCTTTTATATTGTATTTATATGCTGTGAACCGCCCTGGGATCTGCGGATGAAGGGCGTTATACAAATTTTAAAAAATACAATGGTGATGCTCATCATGCCTATTCAGTGCTTGGAATGAACTACTTCAGCTGAACAAAATTCATTGCACTACACCTGAAAGTAATTCCCATAATTACCAGGTGAATCAATCTGGGAGGTAGAACATGGAATGATTTCTAGTTCATCTTCACAGCCAATTCCCCCCTCCACAAAAAAAGGAGGGCCAGACTCTCTTTTTTAAATTGAGAAAAAGAAAGCTAAGTCACTTGGACAAAGTTAGAAAGCAAAGTGTGGAGACAATGTTCTAAGGCTTATCAGGCAGATATGGAGCTGTTGCTGCTTCTAAGGATGCTTAGTCAATCAATATGGCTAAGCAATTAGAAGGAAGGAAAAAGAGGCTTTTCCTGTATCTTCCTCGCTGAAAATATTTGCTCTCTTCCAAAAGGAGTATCTTGTAGGAAGAACTACAACAACAATTCTTCTTGGATTCTTATCTCATTATACATGAAAAAACAAAAAAAATCCTTCCAGTAGCACCTTAAAGACCAACTAAGTTAGTTCTTGGTATGAGCTTTCGTGTGCATGCACACTTCTTCACTTCTGTGTATCTGAAGAAGTGTGCATGCACACGAAAGCTCATACCAAGAACTAACTTAGTTGGTCTTTAAGGTGCTACTAGAAGGAATTTTTTTGTTTTGACTATGGCAGACCAACACGGCTACCTATCTGTAACTGTCATTATACATGACAAAGCCATTTTTCACCTTCTCACCCCTTGCTTTTTCCTGTAAGACCTATTGCAGCCGTTAAGAGTCGTCAACAGGCTCATCACAGCTATCTGCCAATCACCCATTCCCACCACCCTTCTGAGTAATACCCCTCCCCACCTTCTCACTATATAGAAGGATCTGGCAACTTCTGTTTCAGTGTATCTGAATATGGAAATACATTTATGAGGAAAACTTCACCTTTTGACATTCTGTCTGTCAGACACTTTACTACTTATGTGTGCCCCCTGGCTTCCATTTGGACCCTTTATTTCAGCTTGTAACATTCTGAACACTCTTTTTGTTTTGCCAAGGATAAACTTTTTATGAACTTGAGCTAAATTATTTTGTAAAAGGACAAACAAACTAGTACCTTTTTGGACGGGATAAAGTTGAACTAGTTTCTTTTTTTCAATGGAACTTTTCAAGCAATGTTTATACTACATCTGTTTTCAAACAATGTGTATAATAAGATGCTATAAGTTACTGATAGCTTGCTGCTTCAGAACAACCACCCTCTTATCCCAGTGAAGGGTACTTACTGCAGAGTACTACACATATTTGCTGATGCTCAAAAGATGCTATAATGCTCTTTGAAAAATAGTCATAACTAGGTACTACACTGTATTTTGATGTGAACATGCAATGAGTAAAAGGCTGTGAAAGATGGTCAGTTGTCCAAGGAGGACACACTGAATGTGCAGCTGTACAGTCTTCTTAGTGCTGCAAAACATGGTCATTCCCAATCTGCAACTGGGAACATGAAGCTGAGAGATGGTGACACGCTTCTAATGAGAGGAATAAATGATTATGGATAAAGTACATAGAGAATTGGCCCAGACTCACTGTGTGTTCTTCAACTCACCCTCTTTCAGTTCTAATAACTGGTCTATAAAATGCATGACCTTTTTACAGTTGTAAAACACCCACAAGAATACGGCGACAGACCACCATTTGGAAGAAAAGAGCACATTCTTCACATGCATTTCTGAACTATCAAACCCAGCAAGATGAACCAATGGCCTGACATTTTTGCCTATGCTCCAAGGCCATAGAATGTGTGCTTTGCAAAAAGAAGATCCAATCTTCAATTAAAAGGATCTTAAGTAGCAACACTGGGAAAGACCTCTGTCCAAACTTTGGAAGGCCTCTGTGCATGAACAGAGAGTTTAAAGACCCTTGTTCTATGTACCTGACTCTGTGTAAGGCAACTCGATCACAAACTGAAAACCACAGTATTTCTAAGTCTTCAACCCTACTTTTACAAGTGAGAAGCACATGGGTCAGATGTCAGAGAGACTCCAGTGGCAAAATGGGTCAGTCAGTGCATCTGGCTGTTAATCAGAAGGTTGGTGGTTTGAAACCCGCCCCCCCCCGCTCCAGGGACAACTGTGGGCAGGATTCCTGCATTTGCAGGGGTTGGACTTGATGACCACTGGGGTCCCTTCCAACGCTGAAATTCGATGATTCTAAGCTATAGAATCCGAATCTTATCTTGATTATGGCATAGTAACTTTCAGTTCAAGCTTCAGCCGGCTTTGCTGACATGTGCAAATCCTAGGAGTACTGTACTGCTGCAGGCAAGCAGAAAGCTATTTAGAGATTTGAAATAATTCATCCCGGTATAAAGACCAGCATTTTCAGCTCCTGTGATGTTGTGCAATATGCACGTTTGCAACAAAATGCTGAAAACTCAGGAAAGGGACCACGGGGGAATTGCTGGCAATCGCTTGCTGACAATATGCTTTGCTAGGCTGGTGAAATGACTGCAACTAATAAAAGCAGATCTGGGAGAACAAATTCCAGAGGGGAAGCTCTGTTAGTACTGCAGTGAAAACAACAAAGGCTGTGGCACCTTAGAGGCTTAACATTTACCGTAAACCAGTTACAAATCTGTGAGCCTTAAAATGGCGCTACAGGTTCAGGGTGTTTGTTTGTTTTGCTGGAAGAACAGGTTTAGAACTCCCAGATTCCAGGGGGAGGACATGAGCAAATTCCCAAGGCGGCCCTGCCTCTCCATTGCATAAGCAATTTGCGGGGAGGAGAAGTGGAGCCGAGAGAACAAATCCTGCCCTTTTTTTAATGGGAGGGAAGGTGGTGGAAATATGGGAAGAAACAATTCACTGGGAGCCAGGAAAAAAAGGAAATGTAGTAGACCTTGAGCACCCAGAGTGGATCGCTCCCACACCCTCCCAAATGGTGCAGGGAAAGAGATCATTTTGAGTAGATGGAAGAGGGCTCCTTTTAAAAGGCTGACAAGGGGATTGTTTTTGCGACCCAGCTGGGACTCCAGGGACCACACCACCTCTGGGTTAGAATCATAGAATCATAGAGTTGGAATAGACCACAAGGGCCATCGAGTCCAACCCCCTGCCAAGCAGGAAACACCATCACAGCACTCCTGACATATGGTTGTCAAGCCTCTGCTTAAAGACCTCCAAAGAAGGAGACTCCACCACACTCCTTGGCAGCAAATTCCACTGTCGAACAGCTCTTACTGTCAGGAAGTTCTTCCTAATGTTTAGGTGGAATCTTCTTTCTTGTAGTTTGGATCCATTGCTCCGTGTCCGCTTCTCTGGAGCAGCAGAAAACAACCTTTCTCCCTCCTCTATATGACATCCTTTTATATATTTGAACATGGCTATCATATCACCCCTTAACCTGCTCTTCTCCAGGCTAAACATGCCCAGCTCCCTTAGCCGTTCCTCATAAGGCATCGTTTCCAGGCCTTTGACCATTTTGGTTGCCCTCCTCTGGGCACGTTCCAGTTTGTCAGTGTCCTTCTTGAACTGTGGTGCCCAGAACTGGACACAGTACTCCAGGTGAGGTCTGACCAGAGCAGAATACAGTGGCACTATTACTTCCCTTGATCTAGATGCTATACTCCTATTGATGCAGCCCAGAATTGCATTGGCTTTTTTAGCTGCCACGTCACACTGTTGGCTCATGTCAAGTTTGTGGTCAACCAAGACTCCTAGAATGTTATGTACAGCATTCTAGGTGCTTCTGACAGAGTTCCACAGGGAGGGTGCCACAACTGAGAAGGCTCTCTAAGGTTCCCCTCTGACGATCTCAATGGTCAGGCTGGAACATATTGGAGAGGCACTTTTTGAAGTATTTTGGCCGTGATATATTTTGGGATAGATGAGGGGTGGGAAAATCTTTTTTTTTTTCCAGATAGAGGCCACATTTCAAACTGGTCCAAATGTCAGTGGTTGGTGAGACCAGAGGCAAAAGTGGTACAGTAACCAGCTTCTACACACCTATGTCTTCCACCCAGGCAATCAAGAAGCATTATCAGAATTCAAGGACACTTTCCAGCCAGGGAAAAAAACCCCTCTGGAAGGGTATGAAATAGGGCTGATGGGGTGTCTGGTTGAGGAGGGGATGCAGCCTGGGGAGCCAAGGGCCAGATAGAGGGTTGCATTTCATCCCACCGCAGCCCAGCTCTGAGGTTCCCTATCCCAGTGTTTCCCAACCGGTGTTCCGCGGCACACTAGTGTGCCGCCGGACGTTGCCTAGTGTGCCGTGGGAGGGAGACGGGCGAGTCGGGCTAATCCTCCGGCCCCGCTCCCCCGGGGAACGTGCCCCGTCATCCGCTTCTGCCTTGCTCCCTGTGACAGGAATTCCCCAAACTGCATCAGCATCTGCCGCTTGCCCAGCAGCCCCGGCGCTGCCTTGCGCCCGGCGCCCCCGCCATCCTCGGCGCAGGGAGCGAGGGGCGCGCAGGCAGGCGCTGCCCGGCGGAGCGACGGCTCCTTCCGAGCGGCTGGCAGTGTCTGGGCATGACTGGCCTCCCGCCTGGTCCCGTGGCGGCTGCAGACGCGGCCGAAGCAGCGCAGGGAAGGAGACGCCCGAAGCAGCGCAGGGAAGGAGACGCCCAGCCCCGCCCCGCACGCTCCCACTCTCTCTCGGCGGCCGGGGAGCGGGGCCAAAGCGGGCCCCCACCTGAGTGGCGGCTGCGTGAGCCAATAGGCGAGCTGGGGCAGAGGGGGAGGCGGGGCTCCGGAGAACAAAGGAGGGA